AGTGTTCAAAATTCGAATTCCGTATTTTTTCCCTTGGATATTATATCATTTACCAAGAGAGCAATGTTCATTTCTCCCTTTACTTCTGTCAGTTTTTCCTTCATGTATTTTGAAGCTCTGTTGCTAGCTACATATACACTTATGATTGTCGTACCTTCCTCACTGACACACAAAATGTCCCTCTTTATTTCTGGTAATCCCTCGGGTCTTGAAGTCTACTTTGATATTCATATAGCTATAGAAACTTTTTTATGCTTCCTATTTTCATGGTATGTCCTTTCTAACTCTCTTGCTTGCAACTTTTATATCCATATTTAAAGTACATCTCTTATAGGTAGTATATAGTTGGATTTTTTATAAAGGACTTTATTTTTTAGAGCAGTTTTAGGGTCACAGCAAAATGGAGCAGGCAGTACAGATATGCCCTGCACTCCCCCACCCCAACACATACACACAGCCTCACCCACTATCAACATCCCCATTCCAGAGTGGTATATTTGTTACATGAACACACCATCATTACTCAAAGTCCATAGTTTACACTAGGGTTCACTCTTTGTTGTGTGTTCAATAAATTTTGACAAATGTATAATGCTATGTATGCACCACTGTGGTATCATACAGAGTAGCTCACAGTCCTAAAAATGCTCTATGTTCTATCTGTTCAGCCCTCCCTCCTTTCTAATCCTTGGCAACAACCATCATACTTTTTACTATTTCCATAGAGTTACCTTTTCCAGAATACCATAGTTGGAAGGATTGGCTTAATACTGTCATATGCATTTAAGTTTCCTCCTTTTCTTTTCATGGCTTGATAACTGGTTTCTTTTTAGCAATGAATCACATTCCATTGTCTGGATATACAACTGTTTGTCCACCTACTGAAGGACATTTTTGTTGCTTCCAACTTTGGCAATTATGAATAAAACTTACTATAAACATCCATATGTAGGCTTTCATGTGGACATAATTTTTCAACTCATTTGGGTAAATACCAAGGAGTATGACTGCTGGCTCATATGGTAAGATTATGTTTAGTTTTGTAAGAAAACACCAAACTGTCTTCCAAAGTAGCTGTACTATTTTGCATTCTCACCAACAATGAATGAGTTTCTGTTGTTCCCCATTCTTGCCAGCATTTGAGGTCATCAATGTTTGAATTTTCACCATTTTAATAAGTTATAATGCTATCTCAGTGTTGTTTTAATTTGCAATTACCTAAGATAGGATGTTGAACACCTTTTCATATGCTTACTTGCCATCCATCTTCTTTGATGAAGTGTCTGTTCAGATCTCTTGCCCATTTTTTAAAATAAGTTTGAGAGAGAGCATGCATGTACAGGGGAGGGACAGAGAGAATCCCAAGCAGACTCTGCACTGTCAACACAGAGCTGGACTTGGGATTCGAACCCATGAACCATGAGATCATGACCAGAAGCCAAAATCAAGAGTCAGGCCTTAACCAACTGAGCCACCCAGCCACCCCTACATCTGTTGCCCATTTTTAAATCAGGTTGTTTTCTTGTTGAGTTTTAACAGTTCTTTGTACATTATAGATAATCCTTTATCAGATATGCTGTTGCTTCTCATTTTCTTGACAGTGTCTTACACAGAGCAGAAGTTTTTAACTTGATGAAATACAAATTATCATTTATTTCATGAATCATGCCTTTGGTGTTACATCTAAGAGGTGATCACCGGGGCGCCTGGGTGGCTCAGTTGGTTAAGCGGCTGACTTCGGCCCGGGTCATGATCTCGCAGTTTGTGAGTTTGAGCCCCGCATCGGGCTCTGTGCTGATGGCTCAGAGCCTGGAGCCTGCTTCTGATTCTGTGTCTCCTTCTCTCTCGGCCCCTCGCCCACTTGTGCTGTCTCTATCAAAAATAAATAAAATGTAAAAAAATAAATAAAAGGTGATCACCAAGCCCAAGGTCATCTAGATTTATCTAGATTTAACATCTGGATGTGATCTTCTAGGAGTCTTATAGTTTCATGTTTTACACTTAGGTCTGTGATCAATTTTGAGTTAATTTTTGTGATTGGTGCAAGGCATTTTTGTTTGTTTTTTGGTTTGTTTTTGTGGCTATACAATTCCAGTACATGTTGAAAAGACCACCTTCGCTCCACTGTCAGAGATCTGTTGGCTATGTTTGTGTGGGTTGGATCTTAACTACTTGGCCTTTTAATTGAAATTTTTAGTCTCTTTCCTTCCACATAATTTTTGATATGTAAGGGTTTAAGTCAGTCACTTTGCTGTTTTCTAATTGCCCCATATTCTTTTTCCTTCCTATATTCTTTATTTCCTGCTCTCTGGGTTAAATGTGTCTAATTCCTCATTGCTAATTTCTCATTGTTTTTAAGCCATACTTTTTTGTGGTTTCTCTGTTCACATTTTAAAACTTTTTCCCCAGATTGGATATATCTATAGACTTATGTTCAAGTTCATTAATCCTTTCTTAAGTATCCAATAGCTCATATGATGTGTTGTTCATTTTAGTTCTTGAGTTTACAATTTCCATGTCTCTGATGAGATTCTCTACTTGTTCACTCTTTATAATCATTTCTCCTGTAAATCCTTGAACGTAAATAGCATCTTTACAGTTCTGTTGTGTGAATTACCAAATAGTGGGTCATTTGGGGGTCTATTTCTAATAACTGTTTTTTGATAGGGCACATTTTCCTGTTTTGCATGGCAAGTAATTTTTATTCTAGGATGAATGTTGTGGATGATACCCTTGAAGGAGTCTGGATTATGTCATCTTCTTTTAAGTGGTATTTTATTCTTTGGGACTGTTTGTTTGACCTTAGGCTAGCCAGTCCATAGGCCATATTGGACTGTTTTTGTCAACTTTTATTGGAACATAGCCACTGCCCACTTTTTTACATATTGTCTACAGCTACTTCTACACTAAAACAGCAGGACTACATAGTTGTGACACAGAACTATACGGCTCACAAACCTAAGTCCTATGCGATCTTGCCCTTTAAGAAAGTTTGCCAACTCCTGCTCTAGGATTCACACCAGACTCCTAAGGTGTCAGGTTTCACTGAGGTGTCTCCATTTGGGTTGGTCTGGTTACTCCAAGGATTCTGCGGCACTAAGTCTTGCAAATTCTTTTCCTGTACATGCACATCCTAAGTCCTCAGACAAGTACTCTTGATGAGACCCCATCAGATGGGAGACCCCACTTCTGCCTCCCTCCCAACAGCTCCCTTATCTCTTGAAACTTGTTTCAGTAACCCAATCTCTTCAGCTCAGTAGCATCAACACTCTAGTTAGGGCCAATTTCCCCAAGATAATGCTGGAAGATGCTCCCAGGCAGAATCTCAGGATGCTTAATTAAGGGGTTTAACAGTCTGTGTTTCTATTCTCCCAAAGATCACAGTCCTGTGCTGGTGTTCAATGCCTGAAAATATCTGCCCACATATTTTGTCCAGGTTTAAAGTTGTTTTTTGTGAGGGTACATCCGGCACTAGTTATTTTGTTATGGTAGATAAAGCTGCTTTTTACAGAACCAGAGATCCTAGAAAACAAAATATTGTGATAATTCTACTCATGGCCTTTTATTTGACATTTACTGAATAATCATTTTCAGGTTAACTATGTACAATTCCCTTAACCATCCCGGATAGTACAAAGTAGACACTATGTAAGTCATTACATGTTGGCCATGTACAACCAGGAGAGTTCCCATCTGCAGGGAGTTCAGTCTAATAAATCAGACAAACATTATACACATCCCCTTTTCCCTTTTTGAAATACATCCCTAGCAAGGCATACAGAACTAGAGGTAATTAAAAGCACAGGGCTAGATTTCCTCCCCTTTCCCACCATATATCCTTATTGGAAGTAGTATTATGAGAGACATTGGATAGGCTTTATAGAAATCTAAAAAAATATAGGGCAAAGGTCACCTCTTCTGGACTTTGATTATAAAGTGTTTAAAAAAAACTACAATTACCATGCATTTAAATCCATTTTTAATCTTAAGATCAGTAGTTTCTAAAATAAGTCAACTGAGTTTGATTTTGTGAATTTGTCTAGAGCTATGTCTTTTGGGTCCAAAAACTAAGATATAACCAAGGATCATAATCCTATAGAGACTTTACCTGTGCTTTCTTATGGCTACACTCCCTCCAGTGAAGTTGCTTTGTATTTTGCTACTGTTAAGTCCTATCTTAAGATAGGACGTGCAAGCTTATAAGGCACATTGTGAGCACTGCAGTCTACTTACTGACCAGACATCAAACGAGATGAGACATTTAGGGGGGGAGAAACTTGTAACCTTAAATTAATCTGAGCTTTTCATACAGTTTCATAGGGAGTATCTCATTCAGAAGGAAAAAAAAAAAAAAAAAACAGGTGGCTTTGCCTCATCTAACTTGTGTTGGCTAAAGGTTGTCATTCTCTTTGAATTGTAAACCTCTAACCAGAGGACAAAGCCTGACTCTGAAAACAGTCCAAGATGTGTAGGCTCATGAGGCTTAAGGCAGGAGCAAATGTCTGATATGCTTGTTTCTCTCAACAGTACAGATCAGGGGTTGGCAAACATTTTCTGTAAAGGGCCAGACAGTAAATATTTTAGGCATCTCAGGCTACGCGGTTTCTGTCAAAACCACTCAACTCTGCCACTGTAGCATGAAAGTAGCCGTAGAGAACACATAAGCAGATAACACAGCTGTGTTCTAATAAACTTAATTTACAAAAACAGGCAGCTAGGATTTGATCTAGAGTTTGCTGAACCCTGGTGCACATAAATTAGCAAAAGTTTAACTGTGTTTTTAGTTTTTTAAAATGTTCAAGATCTTGAAAAAAGGTTTTCCTATTTTGTAAATTGCCAGTTTTACTGAATGGTTATCTTTTCTGTTGATGAGATAAAGCTGTTATTACCTCCCAACTCCTGCAAGTGACCAACAGTGGTAGAGAACTATTTCTACATGCTACCTAATCACACAGTATTTTGCATGTGGTAACTTCAAAATGAAACTTTTCTTTTGACAGATAAACACTACAGGTGAAGATTGGTAAAAAGAAGCACTGATTACTGCGGTGGCCTGGAGAGGAAAAGCGCTGGTCGGTATCACATGGACAAGCTCAGTGTTTTCCAAAGATGCTGTTGAAGTAGTCTTTGCTACTGCTTTCCTTCAAAGCTCTTCATAACATGGGCTGCATGAAATCAAAGCAAACTTTCCCATTTCCTACCACATGTGAGAGTGAGAAGCAGCATGCAAGTGAAGAAAGCTTTATGTCTGGAGACAGATTTCCACCTAGGATGCCTTCTCCAGTTAATGTCGAACAGGAAGTGAAGAAACCATCAGGGCCCGAAACTGTGGTCTTTGAATTTGCACATCGCCTGTCCCAGGAAATCCTGAGTGATGCCTTGCAGCAGTGGGCAGGCAATAACATCAAGTACTATGACATCCCATATATTGAGAGTGAGGGGCCTTGACGCTGTAGGATGATGATAACTTCTTGAATTGTGGATAAAGTTGGTGCTAGCTTAAATACATGAAACAATAGCAAAAACTGATGTGAATAAATACAAATAACTACGTCTGGATGTAAAAAAAAAAGTCTATGGTAATATCAAGAGTATACAATACTTACGTGAAATATGTTAAGCACTTTTTATGTTAACAGTGATTTCTACCTGCTTGGTCTTGGATTTTAGTCATTTAAAGGGCTAAACATAGGTCCTGTACCACAGTAATCAGCTGGTATGTCATGGCACTTTCTTCCTGAGGCAGTAATAGAATCACCAAAGAAATCCAATGGTTATTTTAAAGACACTCCTTTTAAAATTACTATTTGTTAATTTACACACACACATACAAATAATACATGAGAAGGTTTTTTTTTTCCCCCAAAACGCATTGGCAAGGAAATGGCACTTAAGCCACAGTAATTAACAGTGGGTCTTGTTTGTCAAAACCATTTGTGTCAAGGATTCCTACTTCTTAACACAAATGATCAAGCAGTAGAAAGCAACCCATGCAGAAATAGTCCACTTTGAAACCTGTCCTTAAGATATTTTTGTAGATGAAAAGCCTAACTACCACCTTGAACCTCAGGGCCCTAACTAACCTCAGCTATCATTGGATGACTCAAGACATCGCACATACGGCACCCGAACGAGATACAATTTACAGAAGTCATGACATTAATGTTTGTGGTATTGAATTAAGCAGCCCAGTGATATAACAAGAAAACAAGAATTTTTACAAATAGAAATACAGTAAATTTTAAAATAAATAACAGAAGCCCTAGTCAAGGTAGAAAGCAGAACCTGTTCTCAGTGCTGCATGTATGTTAAGTTTTACCGTCTCAAAGATGCAGAAGGTTGGTATATGGGCAGTCGTTCCCATTTTTCTTATTGACTGGTGGGACCAGTCTATGCATGAGTATATACAGTTGTATTACAAAACAAAAGATCAAACGCTCCTCCAAAGAGTATTCGTGTGTGTGTACGGTAACAATGCCCTTAAAGCATTTAAAGCCATATATGATTTTCTTAAATTTGTCTACCTTTTTGAGGAAGTTTTTTAACAAGTAACTACTGTTTGAGATCAATGGTAATAGAAAATTTGGGAGGGGAAGAAGATATTGAGAAGACATACCTGTAGAAAAATTGGGATGCAGTCACTGGAATTTTCATCAAGATTTGCTGCACACTGACTTTAATTGGAAAGGGAATTATTTTTAAGTCTGTGTGCATTAGATTCTTTTATTTCCAACAGACCCTGGTCACCAATATCTAAAGAAAGGCAGAAGAAGACCTGCGAAATATGTATTTGGCCTTAAAAGCAGGCGGAAATACTACCTCTAGTTTTAACCATGATACTTTGAAACCCACAAATAGAGTGAATTCTCCCGGTTGCATGGACAAAGAAAGTTCTTTGAAGTGAGTGATGTGCTATCTTTCCGTTGCCTTTAGGCACTTGGTCATTCAACTTTCATTTTACCTAGTCCCAAGATCTGAACTGTCCTGTTGTACTTGCAATCTAGAAACAAAGTAGAAAAAACTCACCATCCCCATTTATACAAGGATCTGAAGTCATAAGACTAAGGGACAAAAAGTTTTCTGAAAGTGCAAAACATATTTCCAGCTCATGAAGAAAAATTTAGGTTTTTGAGTATACTAATGACTCAGACAAAAGCTTAGATGTTGCTGTTTTTCACTCATTTTGTATCTCACATCAGGATATTTTTGCTGCAAAGTCACTCACTGTTTAAAAGGTGTAATTAAGTATGTAAGGTAATACAATATTATGGTGAGAACACAAAGCCATAGCTACACTAAATTTTTCAGCATACATAGGGATGTAGACTGGCAAGTTTTATTACAGCTAAGTATTTTAACCTCAGGTTTCTCCTGTGCCTGGGCCCCTATTTCCCAGGCGGGTAGCAGGCACGCCTGTTCAGATCCATATCTAGCTAGAAGTATAATCTCTGTTGCCCTGACACTACGGCAGTATGGTTTTGTCACCAAGCACCAACCCCTCACTCCTGAATCATTTTAACAGAGTATAGTATCTGGTAGTATAGACTTATCTTGGAAATATATGCTGTATTATGTCAAAACATGGACAAGGAACTACAAGGCTTGTGTAATCAGTGAGTTAGCAGATAAACCAAGTTGGAGGCAGGCAGGAAAAAGAACTGGATAAGCAAATGTGTACCACATGTGATCATTATCAAGATATAGTTTGGCCTTGATGACGAGACAGATGAGAACATCTTTGATAGGATTCCTTCTATCATACCTTCATATTTAAATACTGGATTTACTTCACTTTGAACTTTCATGAACAGTAAAAGGTCTATTTGAGAAGGAAGGAACATATAAAACAGACGACTGGAAGAATTATTAGCTACTGGAAAGGGAGACATTTGTTCCAACTTCTATCACAAACACAGATGAAATAAGAATAGTGGCCAAATCATAAGGGAAAGGAAACGGGGGGAAAAGAGGGCCCAAGAAACAGCACTCACGTCAGGCTCCATCAGAAGACACACTGCAAAACAAGTCTCCACTGTTCTTGACTGAGGGAAGGGACACAGTAGCAAGTTCCTTTCTTTACCACCCTGACAGGTGACCAACTACTGACTCTTTTCTCTCGAGAACATCCAGGATAGGTGCAGATGAGCCGCAGCCAGTGCGACAAAGAACCTGCTGATGGCAACTGTAAACGAAGATTCTCAGAGGAAGCGTGCAGGTTCCTCACTTACACAGACTCATGTAACCCCGCAAAAGTGCTTCCCTGCTCCCTTCTCCAGTTAAAGGTCTCCTGTGTGCTCTTACCTTTCAGTTACAAGCCTTTGATATCAGAGTGCTCCATTTTCAGTTGCCTTATCTGTCCTTTGCTAACCATCTATGGTCATTAGCACTCAAAGCACAATTTGGAAGGGGTAAAAACGATCCTAGTTCCAAAGGAATAATTGGTGTCAAATTGCCTTATTAGTATTAAAAATAGACATACTGCTGAATGAATGAGTTAGCATGACACATGTATCCTACTTAATATCATTGCCATATTATGAGATGAGGGAACTATACTTTTTTATTGTATAGTTTTAGGAATCAAGTAAATTCAAGGAATAGTAGTTAAAAAACAAAGTTCCAACAAATCTATTGTTTGCTTAATCATAAGGCCCTCACTATGTATCTGTGTGGCCAAATAGAACATATCTTCCTTGGGCAAGTGGGCACAAGCTCAGATGTACTCCCTATCTCTTACTTTGCAAAACTCACATTTTGTTAGCTAATTCTCTTCCTGTAAGACTTAGCTATGAAATGGTATATTTTTTTCCAAATATTTTTGAGAAAACATTTTTTTCTAACTGTACAATAAAAGTCTAGTTGCAATTAACTAGCTATGAGTTCTTATTAAAGCAAATGCCTTTCAACATTGTATACTGTCAAATTTTTGACATAAAGAACTTAACATTTTATGCATGTCTAATGAATACAAAGTGAATAAAAATACAAATAATTTCTTGGATCATTCAGGTCCAATTTAAGAGCTTTAAGAATATAAATGTAGGGGCGCCTGGGTGGCGCAGTCGGTTAAGCGTCCGACTTCAGCCAGGTCACGATCTCGCGGTCCGTGAGTTCGAGCCCCGCGTCAGGCTCGCATCAGGCTCTGGGCTGATGGCTCGGAGCCTGGAGCCTGTTTCCGATTCTGTGTCTCCCTCTCTCTCTGCCCCTCCCCCGTTCATGCTCTGTCTCTCTCTGTCCCAAAAATAAATAAACGTTGAAAAAAAAAAAAAAAAAAAAAAAAAAGAATATAAATGTAAACATGTCCATTATCATGCTGTCTTTAGTCTAAATCTGTTCCTCACTTTTTGGGGGGCGGAATGCTTCATGTTAAATATTAAAAATAGAAAATTTAAAGCAACTCCTTCTAGACTGCAATTTCCTCATCTAAAAGAGGAGTGCAGGATATAAGTTTTGATGTCTTTCTCAGTTCTTCCACCTTTGTTATTGAAATCTGAAATTTTCTTCATTTCTGAGGGGTTTTGGATGAAGGAAAAACTGTAACAAGTTATAAATGATAAACTGGCCTTTAAAGGTCATTCTTCTCTAGACTTTAATGTGCCAAGTCTGGAACACCCTGCAGTTTCTTGTGTACCTTAAGAAAAACTTATTTTGTCAACAGTACCAATTATTGAAGGTATTTCTATTTTGAACAAAACTCCTGCTTTCGACTTTTTTTTCCTCCTGATTTAGACTACATAATGGCAAATAATTTCCCACACTTCCTAATTTCTCATTCTGTCAGTTTAACAAATCCTAAAAAAAACAATGAGAAATAATGCTTTCACTTTCACTATAGGAAGGATTCTGGTTAATTTTAGGGAAGACCAAAGATGAGTTAATAATACTAGAGAGATAACCTCATAAAAACCTTTTTGCTTTCCCTGAGATTTCTAATATTATAAAAGGAACACTTCTACAGTAACATAATTATTTTAAAATAGATTTATTCATGCAGAAAATTCTATGAAGCATTAACACAATAGACAAAAAAATTTCAGGGCCATTTCTTAATCATCTATATATAGGTTTATTTAATCAATGTACAAACTACTACCCAAAGCCAAAACATAAGGTTCCCATTTCAATTAGAGATTTCAACTCCACAATCTCTAAAGAATTTCAAATTTTCCCATCTATAAAGCAGGGGTTGGCAAACATTTTCTGCAAAGGATCACACAGTAAATATTTTAGGCTTTGCTAGCCTGACAATCTCTGTTGCAACTACTCAAAGCACCCATAGACAATATGTAGAGATGAGTATAGTTACGTTCCAATAAAGCTTCATTTGTGGACACTGATACTTGAATTTCATGTAATTTTCACACATCATGTAATATTAGTATTTGCTTTCTTCCTCTAACCATTTAAAAATGCAGAAACCATTCTTAGCTGGTGGAAAAATAAATAACAGGCAGCAGGCCAGATCTGGCCCATGTGCCATAGTTTGCCAACATCTGCTCCAAAATAATCCCTTAAAAATCCAGTCACCTTATAATTTCAAATCGTTACTTGCCAGAGATTTAAAGTAACTATTCAAATCTTCTTCAGTAACTTCTTTTAGATTAGCCGGTTTCCATTTTGGGCTCTGGTCTTTATCTATTAAAACTGTCAAGTGAAGACATAAGAAATGTTAGTACATTTCTTTCAGGTATTACCAGATTTTAATTACAGAACTGACAGAAACTACCTTAACACAAGGCATATTTTCTATAGCACTTTTTCTGCAAAGTTTAAATCTTTGTATGTGTTCCATTTTTCTTTTTAAATTAAGCCCCAACAGAATTTGGATGGATGATGACCCATGTGGTTATCTCCCAACCTGCTAAGTCTGATGCCCGGAACTTGAATATAGCCTATGAACTAATGTGGTTTAAGACTTGGAACTCTTTTTCCTTCTTCAAACAAAACTGTAAATGAAATCTTCCTGTTATAAAACAGCTAAAACCAGGGTTGGTGTAGTTTAAAGGGAAGGCAGGGGAGGGTGGAGGGCCCAGATCTGCCTTCTAACCTCCTCCACATTGAGTTGAAAGGAAAATTACTTAGAAGGGGATGACTTTATGCATAATTAAACGAGGATACTGTTTTGCTGAATCCTCTGGTTCACACAGCTCTGCATTAAAATACCAGACCACCTTCAGGTTATAAGAAACTCGACTTCTCTTATTTCGGTGTAGTCATCATTTAGTGTAGCCACATAGCATCCCCACAGGATCATAAGTATGAGGCAATCGGCAAACCTCTCCTTTAAAAAGGTAGGCGAGTGTCCACTTCCTGGTTGTGACTGTATACTATAGTTATACAAATGTTACTGTTTGGGAAAACTTGGAGGGCACATAGGATCTCTCTATATTATTTCTTAAAACTGCATGTTAATCTACAATTATCTCAAAAATTTTTTTAAAAGAGAAAGGGACTAGGTATGGTTATGGGAGGGAATTTCAACCATATTTAAAATGTAAATAATTCTTGTGAATGATAAAAATATTTAAACATAAAAACTCTGAACTTAAAAAACCAAATTTAGTATTAAAAAGTTAAATAAAGAAGCAATCTGGAAACCAAGAAACAGGAAGCAAAGGGGCTTTCTGCATTATTAAATGTGGATACTAGAGGTTTTTAAGGCTCGGCTGCCTAGCTACATGATTCTAGCTAGTATCAGATCAGTGGTAACACTGAACACTGATGTTATGATCCCTGCCAATTTGACAGTTTTACATTCCCCAGACAGCATAAGTAAAAACAATTCTGGAACATTTCTTCAAGAGTCTCTTCCTTTTTAAGCCCTCTGGCCAATGCTATCATGCTATCTACCTCCTTGACAGTCTGAAGGGCAAAATGAAAGAGAATATTAGTCAAATCTGTATGTTCTTTTATTTCAAACTGACATAATTTTTTACTTAGCATAGATATAACAAGTTCTTGCCATGTAGACAGCTCAGGGTTTTTCAAGTCTCGTGAGGCACCCACTCAAATCCCATTTGGTAACTCTCTAGCTCTGTTGAAATAACCTATTTTTATTTTCTTCTATAACCAGGAAGAAGTTCATTCTAGATGTTAAGAGTAAGAATTTTTAACAACCACTCCCCTAATTTGCTAGTTTATTTTATCTAATTTGCTAACATATTTTATCATTAGCAAACTGTAGCAAACATTTGGTTATTATGCAAGAACACCGAACAGTTTTACCCAGAATAGATACTGCTTTCAAAATAAGGAGCTTATGCTAAAGATGGGGCAGTATACTTTCTCTTCATTAGAAAGTAGCTTGATAAGCTCTTGCCTTATGAATCAGAATGTTGATGCTGCTTGGTTTTAACTCTGTTTCCTTAAGATAATAGGCAGTAAATATGAAAAAAAAAAACACCTTCGTTTTTTAAGTTTAAGAAGGGCTGCTATAACATATAATGAGTATTTTAGCAATAAAACCCAAATAGCACACACATCCTTCTAATAACTAATAGTTGTCTAGGCTCTGATCCACATGCAGCAAGAATTTGCAGGGAATTAGTGGGAAAAGTGCTTATTTTACCTGGTTTCTATAAAACATATAGCCATCTCCTCTGACTCAATTCCCTGTGTCTTCTAAGAGAATTCAAACCCCTGCTTATTTTTTTTAAATTTTTTTTAACATTTATTCATTTTTGAAAGACAGAAAGAGACAGAGCATGAATGGGGGAGGGGCAGAGAGAGAGGGAGACACAGAATCTGAAGCAGGCTCCAGGCTCTGAGCTGTCAGCACAGAGCCCAATGCGGGGCTTGAACTCACGGACCGCGAGATCATGACCTGAGCCGAAGTCGGCCGCCCAACAGACTGAGCCACCCAGGCGCCCCTAAACCCCTGCTTATTTCTGATATTTTATCATGCCATAAATTAAGATAATTCTACAATGGTGACCAGTATTTATCAAAGCTTACAGCTCAGAGAACATAATCTTTTATTTAGATAAAGTAAATACAGAGTCTGTACTATATTAAAGTGATCAATAAAAACATTAAAAAATTAGATGTGCAAAACACATGCAAAGGTTAAGAACTCATTTTATACAACATAAAAAACAGCTATTATTTATAGGGATATGAGCTTATACATAAAAAATTGTTGCAAATTTGCTAAAAACAAAAAAAAATCAACCATTTCACTTGCTTTTTCTAAATATGCTGACTTTGGAGATGATAAAGATAAACCAGAAATTAATAAGAACACTAGCACATGTTACCAATTATGTCATAACGGTTTTTCTCAATGTCAATTTTGAACTTGTCAGGTATAGGCAAAGAGGTAATGGTAGAGATTCAATGCTGCTGGGATTTTGCCAGGCCAGTACTAGAAAGAAGAGGGGCAGGGGACTTGAGGGCTTCTTGCAAGGGAATAAATGCACCTTTCAAAGGTTTCAGCAACAGAATGAGTGTTCAAACTCAGCTGCACTTAGCAGAGGCAGTCTGTGTGACTGTAGAAGCAGGGTCACCTCTTAGAAATTAGGGAGCGGTGACACAAGGTTATGTGAATTTTTCAAACAATATTGGTTTTAAAGACAGATCTTCCCTTATATGTCAGTTGGTAATATTAAAATAGCAACAACTTTGCAATCTTTATGAAGGTATAATTTTCACTAATAAAACAACTATCATCTTTGATAAACAGTATAGGCTCGCAAATCCTATTTCCATAATAGCCAGGAAGAAGACAACCATCACTTACCTGCCCTAACACCTTCATGAAAGTCATGGCCTCCCTGAAAGAAAATGAGATTAAATGGTGAATTTCCAGGCATCCTCATTCGCAGTGATGATCTCTCCCCTCCACCCACTGTAGCCTCCCACCCTCATGGCCATAGCCTGAAATTTACATTTAGAGACTGGACTGCCTTTATGACCCACTCTCTGATCACCACCTCCGATTCTTATCTGCTCGAGTATCTTCACTTGGAAATCTCTGACCCCACTGAACACCACCGATACTACAACTTTTCCACCACTCACCTTGCTCTTCATCCTGCCCAGTCTCCCCAGTCCATTAATGTGGTCACCTTGCCTCAAAAATGCCCTCAACTCCCTCAAGCCTTTTTCCTCCCTCTAGTCTTTCCTGGCAAAATCCCAGCACCAGCTGTCCCTACCATTTACCTCTGCCTTCTTTCGAGCAGCTAAATCTTGCTGCCGAAAAATCATACAACTGTGACTGGTTTCATTTAAAATTCATGACCATACAGTGGCTAAACTTAACAATTCAGGAAACAACAGATGCTGGATGTGAGGATGTGGAGAAATGGGAACCCTCTTGCACTATTGGTGGGAATGCAAACTGGTGCAGCCACTCTGGAAAACTGTGGTGGTTCCTCAAAAAATTAAAAATAGAACTATCCTACAACCCAGCAATAGCAGTACTAGGAATTTATCCAAAGGATATATAGGGGCACATGTACCCCAATGTTTATAGCAGCACTTTCAACAATAGCCAAATTATGGAAAGAGCCTAAATGTCCATCAACTGATGAATGGATAAAGAAATTGTGGTTTATATACACAATGGAATACTACTTGGCAATGAGAAAGAATGAAATCATGCCATTTGCAGCAACATGGATGGAACTGGAAGGTATTATGCTGAGTGAAATAAGTCAGTCAGAGAAAGACAGATATCATATGTTTTCACTCATATCTAGATCTTGAGAAACTTAACAGAAGACCATGGGGGAAGGGAAGGTGAAAAAATGGTTACAAACAGAGAGGGAGGGAGACAAACCTTAAGAGATTCTTAAATACAGAGAACAAACTGAGGGTTGATGCGGGGGGTGGGGTGGGAGAGGGGAAAATGGGTGATGGGCACTGAAGAGGGCACCTGTTGGGATGAGCACTGGGTATTGTATGTAAGCGATGAACCATGGGAATCTGCCCCAAAACCAAGAGCACACTTTACACACTGAATGTTAGCCAATTTGGCAATAAATTATATTTTTGAAAAATTAAAAAAAATTAAAGTTCATGACCACAAACCTCAAACAGGCATGGAAAACTGCCTAACAATCCATGTTCTCTTCCCTGCTTCCCAGGATGATAATTCTAACTGCCTTCTACCTTCTCAACCTCTAATCCTAGCATATCTCTAGTTCTTCTCCTGGCATCATCAGTGTCGGCAGCATAACTCAGTGACTGACTACAATTCAAATGTCTGGGCTCACCTCCTGGCTCCACTACATGGTTGGTAGCTATGTGACCTTTATCTACTAATTTCATTAATGCCAAGCTTCCTTACATGAAATGGCAACATCAATCATCATCATCATCATCATCATCATCATCATCATCACAGGATTATCTTACTCCACATCCCAGCACAGTGTCTGACACACAGTTAAGTATCCAGGAAATGCTATTGGTATCATCAACATAATCTTTTTTCTCTATTGGATCATTTCCAATCAATTATAAACATGTTCTAGTATCTTCCACCTTATAAAATAACAAGGAACCTCACTTGATTCCACAGTCCTAACTTCTACCCTACTTCTGTTTTAAGAAGAGTTGTGTACAGGGGCGCCTGGGTGGCGCAGTCGGTTGAGCGTCCGACTTCAGCCAGGTCACGATCTCGCAGTCCGTGAGTTCGAGCCCCGCATCGGGCTCTGGGCTGATGGCTCAGAGCCTGGAGCCTATTTCCGATTCTGTGTCTCCCTCTCTCTCTGCCCCTCCCCCGTTCATGCTCTGTCTCTCTCTGTCCCAAAAATAAATAAATGTTGGGAAAAAAAAAAAAAAAAAAAAAAGAAAGAAGAGTTGTGTACATATAGCCGTCACTTCTCCACATCCCATTTATTCATTTCCTCTCCAACTCACCATACTATAACTTTTGCCCCCACACTCTAAACGGCTTGCCAAAACCACCTGTAACTTCAGTGTTGCCATATGCTGAGTATGACTTTATCCTCCCCTACTGGGCACTTTCACAGTGCTTCCTCCTCCTTGAAACATTGATCTCTTGCTTTCATGACTCCTGGTTCTTCCACCTCTGCCCTTTTTCTCTTCCACCCTAGTCAAAATTTCTTGGGGCTCAGATCCGGGCTCTCTCATTTTCCTTCTATATGCTCTTACCCATTCTATACCCAACACATGAGCACCTGAGTTATCAATTCTGTTAAGATACAAGATCACGTCACTCCTCTACTCAAAAACATCCAGTACCTTCCCATGTTATTCAGAACAAAAGCCAGAGTTTTATAAAGGCCTTGGAGGAAGCTACATACGCTCTGCCCAGTCCTTCTCTACCCTGTTAGCTCTCACCTCATCTCTCTCACTCACTTGACGCTCCTTCTCTGCCCATGCCACCCATCAAGGCTTCCTGCAGCTCCTAGAACAGGCAGGCACACCCCCGCCTCATGGCTTTGTACTGCCTCTGCCTGGATGCTCTTCCCCAGATACTTACACAGCTCATTCCTTCACTTCCTTCAGGTTTTTACTCAGAGAACATCTTTTCAGTCAGGTCTTCTCTGGTCATCCTATCTGTAAATTCAAACTCTCCCTCACCTCCTCCTTATGCCATACCCTCCTTCCCACTTTACTTCTTCTCCTTAGTACATATAATCATATACTATATATTTTATAATTTTATCTGTTTATGATCTATCTCCCCCACTATAAAGTAAGTTCCATAAGAGCAGGCATTTTTGTCTGTTTTGTGGACCTATGCATTCTTGGTGCCTCTAACAATGTCTAGCACATGGTAAGCATTCTTATTAAGTAAATAAATCTCCAAAGCTTCAGACTTAAATCTCTAACCCACAGCTCCGAGCTCCAATTCCTAAATGCATTCTTTCCTTCTCTCACATCCATCATCAAGGCCTATCAATCCTCTCCCACATTATTCCCAAAATCATTCACTTCTCTCCGTTGCCGCCACCCTCGCCGAAGCCACTGCAACTTCACAGCTGGATTACTGCAAAAACTCAAATCTGGTCTCTACATCCCCTCTTGAATCCTTCTAACCCCATCTCCATTCAGCAGCAATAATTACTTTCTTAAAGCAAACAGAATCAAATCATCCACTGCTGAAACCCAAGGGACTTTTCGACATACTCCTTTCTCACCCTTCGGGTCACAGATGAGCACGCATCTCAAAGACGTCTTTTCTGACAACTTATTTCCCCTCGTCTTTCCCACCTGCTCCTGTCCCTGCCTCATTCTCTCCCATCATCAACCTGTATGTTTCCTTTGGAGCACTTGCCACAATTTGTAACTATTTTACAAATTTTGTTTACTTGGTCTTCATAGTCTCAGTAGACTCTAAATTTCATGAGAACAAGGACTGGGTCACTCTTTCTACAACATAACACTTAGCACAGAACCCGGCAACAACACAGCTAATGGATTTGCTGAAGGAAGGAAGGAACCAATCAATCCAAGCAGTGCAGTAAATGTACAGTGAGAAGCATGGACTGTGTGAGGTATACTGGGGTAGTGGTGGAGAGTACAGGGCCCCCGAGGGAAACCACCTGGTTTCACACACCATGTGTCTGCCACTTAATAGCTATACCACCTTAGGCAGGTTACTTCTCTCTGCCAGCTTCCTCATCTGTAAAGTGGAGACAAGAATAATACCTACCATTCTAGAAATAGCGTAAAATTTAACGGACAGGATGTATGTGAAGTGCCTGGCATAGTACCTTTCTTAACAAACAACAGACCTCAGCTGCCACTTTCATCCTACTAGGAGCGACTTTAAGATTAAAGGGACTAACCGAATTTTATTTATAATTGGATGAACTGCTTGAACACCTTAACTATTTTTTTTGTTGTTGTTTATTTATTTATTTTGAGAGAGAATGCACGAGCAGAGGAGGGAAAGAGTGAGAGGAGGGAGAGAATCCCAAGCAGGCTCTGTGCTGCCAGCGCAGAACCCAACATAGAGCTCAGTCCCACTAACGGTGAGATCATAACCCGAGTCAAAATCAAGAATCGGACGCTCAACCAACTGAGCTCCCCAGGCACTCCCCTTAACTACTGCAAGACATGAAAGTCCATTTGGGATATCTGCTTCCTGGTTATTAAACAGAGTATTTTCTTTAGGCCATAAATTTATTAACCTAAAGGCCTTCTACCCATAACACAAAAGCAGTGATTCTGCTTTCAAAGAGTTTATTGTCTACAAGAGGAAATCTCTAGGACTCTGAAATGTTTCATAAAATTAATTTTCTAGGTGATTATTTTCTACTTTAAGTGTATTTATAATGGAACTTTCAGTGCTAATCTATTAACTAAAACATGTAACAGACTAGTAACTTCAATTCATACATTATATATATGTATATATGGGTGTATATATACATATTCTGTATACACACACACACACATACATATATATATA